AGAGTGACTGGAGCTGTGATGCTGGAAGCATTATGAATAAACCACATAACAAACACCTTGTCTGAACCCTATAGAGTGCTGTTATGCTGGTCCCCTATAATTTTCAGTTCCTAAACACATATCACTGTTAGCTCATTGTACACAATTAGAGCCCACTACCTGTGATTAAACTTGATGGACTTCAGTAAATTGCTTTTGTGGGTCAGAACAATTGTTCTTGGAGGCAGAAGAATTTTTCACAAATCTTTATCTTATTTCCTCAAATTTTCCTATGAAAAAGTTAGCTTAACTCCACAGAATGAAAGGAAATATTGCATATGTATTTGTTGCTAGAAAACTACAGGTTAAAAGAAAATGGCCTTCAGGGACTGGAAATAGCTTACTGCCAGATTGAGTTCTGGCCCACTATGAACTAGCACCCCCTCCCACACACACTGGTCACGCATTTGGGGCTGGAATATGAAGACAAGGCAGCATCTGGGGTAGCTGCTGCACTGGGACATGGTATGGAGCTCAGTGGGTTCAACCCTTAAGGGCCCCTTCCAAGTCAAGATATATTCTGTGATGCTCAACACATCAGCAATGATGCACAGGTCATTATCATTCTGTGAAATGTGGATTCCAAATTTAGTTTCTTCAATTTTAATGTGGGAGTCTAAATGTATGCACCAATGCACACAAATGTAACTGGGTTTTGACTCCAGAAGTTCTTGCTTCCCCTGACATTGCTGGTACTTGCAACAATCACGCTGGGCTTGGCCCAAATTCAGGAACGGGGCAGAGCAAGAAGAACCAAGAAGGATCAATATGAGAATTACATGAGAATCTCCTGTACCTGCACCAACAGCAACAGATTCATGTCTGGTAAGGGTGACTTTAACTTGAGTGCCTGCAGCAACTCCAATATGACACTGCGCGTCAAGTAGAATTTGTCCCTTTCCTACAACAGAAAAACACAGAATTATGAATGTCCTGAAATTCACTAACAGCCACTAGTAAAGCATAAAGATACTTTTTATCTCAGTTTGAGAATAACAAAGTTACAAAGTGTACTGCTCTCTCCAGTCTCACAAAAAATCAGACATCACTCATCATTTATATAATTCTACAGATTTGACTGAACAGACATCAGTGAAGGTGATTCTCCTTTGATGTTTTATCAGGCACTTTACCCAAGATTTAATATTTCACATGTGAAATACAGATAGGTTTTATAAAACAGTTATAAAGCCCAGGCATGCAAGCATGGCTTTCACTAAGTACTTCCATACAAAGAGAAAAGGAGAAAGCAGTAAGAAGTGACATAGAAGAACAAAACTAGGGTAGTATTTAGCATTATTCTTTCATTGAACCTGGCAGAAATAGTCTGCATTTTACCATACCTTTTTTTTATATTGTCAGTCCCCTTAAAATAAGAGTGCCTGCACTACAGCTGCTTGGACATCTATTTTCACTCATTAGACTAGCAGTACTTTTCCACTTCCACAATTAAAACCATCTTGGCTACAGCTGCTACAACAGAAACATTTGAAAACACAGGGGAAAATCAGCCAATGGAGATTAGAACAGAGAAGCCTAAGAATAGAGTTGTAGAGCTGAGTCAGCAAGGAGGTACAAGAGATAAGATGGGTCTGTTATACATCTTACTTTGACATTCTCTGACTTTAGACGATAAGATAAAAACATGGAACAAATCTATAACCTGCTACTGACCACAACAACTCAAGAATTTTGATCAGCAGGATGACTTACACCGTGCTCTCTTTCAAACAACTATTAGAGATGAACTAATATTGTCTAATAATGAGAGCATATCCAAAGTGTGCTTAGGATTTAAAACCTAGCATCTTCCACTTTGCAAACTTCATGCACTTGCCTGCTGACTTCAGTTAAATGTGTGAAAACTTTTACTCAGTCAGGGCCTCAGTTCATCCACAACATTTGTAAAATGGAACCATGTTTGCCTCTTCCTCAGAGAAGTCTTTTGAGGTTTAGTTAGCGAGGGACAGTTTAAAGGTCATCTCCAGCCACACATGATAGCAAATGCAGCTAAAAGGGAAGGAGCTAGAGAAGATGAACAGCTGGAAGTGAGAATGAGCTTTGGTTGCAGCAGACCAAGGAGCCTCCAGTGTTCCTCTTCAGAGAACTGATGTCACCACACTATCTGCACAGCATATTGTTAAACAAAGCTTACAGCAACAGTGCATTTCTCCCAGAGCACCCATATACCTTTTAATGAGAACAGATTCCAAATATCAGGTCCTGATTTGGGAAAAGGTATGAAAACAACAGAATGGTATGTCTTTCATGGATGTTATGATGACAGTCTGTGAATCAAGAAACTTTACTTCAAGCTCCTGGTTTCATCTTCAATTACAAGGATTGTGCAGACAGATAACACATTCAGATGATGAAATGGGTCCTCGTCCTTGTCTGACTACACTGTTGTGGTCTAGGCAGCTAAACTCATGGGAAGCTAACACTCCAAAATCAGCTGTCTTATGAAACCATTACTTGAGGGGACAAGTATTCAAAAGTCACACGTCCCACATGCATGAGTGGTGCTCTGATAAAAATAATACACTATAAGAATATCCAGGAGAGGTCAGACCAGAACAAATGTCCTCAGTAACTTATCTCTAACAATGCCATAAGCAGAAGCAAAAGGAAGAATAAAAACAAGGCACAAGGCAAGCATGTATAATTCTGCCAACTATTTTCAGCTCAGAGAGCTTCTGAGCTCAGTGTGTTTTCTGTATAATTAATAACTCTCAGTGGATTTCTCTTCCACGTATGTGTCCATTGACCTCTTGGACTCATGTCAACATTTAGCACACATGGTACTTGGCAAGGAGTCACACTCTGTTGAAAAATCATTTCCCTATACTTGCTTTGACACTAAGTTCCTACAAACTTAGTGTGTTTCTTGTACTGGAAAGGAATGAAACTACCCATTCCTGCCTGGATCACTTGTGACCTTGCAGACCTCTCTTACGTTCCCTTTCAGTTGTTGCTCTTTCAGACAGAAGAGCCCCAGTTTAGTTGCTCTGTATGTGGAACTCATCCTACTGTTCGATCATTCTTGTTACCATTACTGGAACTTTCTCTGATTCTACTACATTCTTATGGGAATGGAGAACCAGAACAGGACACAATACTCAGGGTGCAGACACTGGTTAGTTGCTAGAATTCACCAGCAAGAGTGACCCTTCCCACTGTCATATGCCTTCACAGTCTTGAGACACATAACACAGTGTCATACTATAGTCAGTTGACAATTATATCTGCTGAAAGAGTGGACAGAAATTCCTTTCCTAACCCAGCACAGTACCCTGCACATACTGGAAAAGAGAGACAAAATTACTTCAAAAGCATTCAGCTGTTTTACATACTAACATCCATGCCATAAAGGATATAATTGGGCCACAATAAATTGCTTTGCCAGAACTCTGGAAAGGAAGCATAGGCTTCATGAATCCCAGCTTTTCTTGGCTTTAAGGACAATACAACAGTAAACTACCTCTTTCTCAAAGAAGTTTCCTATCTCACAGCCTAAACTCTTAATGTTTGTTAAGCACATGCAGTGCAGAGAGATCAAGCAAAATCAGGAAAGATGTTTTTTGACATTTGCCCTCTTGCTTCCTGCACTCTAAATCAGAAGTGATGACACTGAAGTCATTGGCCCAGAGCACCCTTCCTATCTAAGTCTACTTATTCCTATCATTCTGGTGGTGATAAATATGTATAAACCTAGTTTATAGATACTTTAAGAACTTTATATTCTGCCACAGAGCCAGTGTTCCATGAGAGTAACACCCAGAGGAGTCACATGTGTAAACATGGTACCAGGTCCCAAGAATATAACACTTTAGCCTCTGTTCAGCCTAATTAACCCTCTCAAATGTCTATGCATACCTATAAAAAATGCCTTTCAACCTTCAAATTGTGACTTACCAGATGTCTATATGTAGAACATGAAACTACTGAAGTTCTAGCAGAACCTCAGAGCCCAAACTTAGGAATAAGAAGAGTAAATTTGGACCTTTAATGGAGTGGTATGCTATCCTCCAAGTAAGCAGATAAAAATCAAAATTCTTTATTTTTCCTCTGTTGCTACTACAGTAATTACAAATACTAAAGATCAGGCACTTCAATATTCTTCAAACCAATTCAATAGCAAAATCATGTGGCATTCTGCATTTACTTGTATGGGTCAATGGAATAGTTGCAAAAGGTTAAGTTTAGATTCAAACTTCTGCAGCTGTGAGAGATAAGAAAGGAAGAAGTGTGCATTTAGGACCTTAAGATACTTGAAAGGAAAATTACAGCTAAGAAGGTTACAATCCACAGAAGAGATGCTACTCTCAACTGAGAGTTCCAAAGGCATGGAAAAAATCAAATTGCTGACCTGGAGCAGAAACTCAGACAAGGAAATATCAGATTGACGTGAGTCTTCAGGCTCCAAGACAAGAGAAACTCAGATATTCCTGCCACAGGATATTAGGAAAATGTTGGAGACAAAAAAAGATTTGGAGTGGAGTGGTTGTACAGCACTGACCTCTACAAAGTGCACGGAGTAACTTGCTCTTTGAACAGACAAGAATCCTGCACAACTCAGGTGAAAGTTGCTGTTTTCCTCAGCCAGCACACTCAAAGTTATGAAACAAGTAATGAAATCTGAATAGTTTCAATGCTCACAAATTATATTCCTTCAGAAATTCACTTCTATGTGGCATTCTATCACAAATAACACTCTTACTTACCCACAGTGATTTTTCACTGTAAAGAAATACAGGCATCATAACAGATTTGGGGTTTTTTCCTAACAGCAGTGATTAATTTGACATTTCTAAGGCAAAATATGGTAAGCTTTCAAAAAGAACAAAGAAAGTGTAGTGTGGAGCTCACTAAACTAACTGTTTTGCGGCTATAAATTGCAGATGCAATTGCACTAACGATTCCATTGCTGGGTCACCAGGTTGCATTAAACCAAATGAAGGAGATTTTACCAAATGCTATAATCCAAGCTTCCTGTGTTCAATTAAGTACACAATATATTAATAGAACAATGAATCAGGAAGCATGCAAGGAACACGTGCAGGTTTTCTAATACCATGGTTTTAATAACATTTTTGTGAAACTGCAGAGCATGAGGAGAGTGAAAAATTTCCTGTAGTTTACAATTTGCTTTAGCAGATACATGAAATGGTCTTATCAAACTACAAATGCAAGAGGAATGTCTTTACTTCAGTTTTAAATGAGGATTTTTCTGTTTCAACGAAAAAAATCCCAGTACTGGGTTTTAAGTTAACGTTTTTCTCATTTTGTCTTGCCCAAAGCCTTGACTATAGATCTAACTCAAAATACTTCCAAAAGTCTGACAATCTCTTCTGTATCCAGGAATTTTTTGGTTCATAAACTTTTCTTTTTCAAGTGAGACAAAAAGGTAGTATTTGCTTGCTGTCATTAAACATACTGTTACTTTCTATTTAATGCCACCACATCTGGTAGAAGTGCTTCTTATTTTCTTGTGGTGCAGTTTGCTTTTTGTGAGAGTGTAATCACTTTAATAATTTCTTCTTCACTGTTTGACCAGTGATATTTTAAGTCTTGTCAAGATTCAATGCATGTTCTAGCTGTGGCCAATGCAAACCTCATGGAGTCTAGCAAAATGAAGTGCAAGGTCCTACATCTGGGCCATGGCAATCCCAGGCACAGCTACAGGTTGGGTGGGGAAGGAATTGAAACCAGCAACGAGGAGAAAGACTTGGGAGTGACAGTGGATGAGAAGCTCATCATGAGCTGCAGTGTGAGCTCAGCCCAGAAAGCCCAGAAAGTCCAGAAAGCCCAGAAAGCCCAGAAAGCACTCCTTTGGCTGCATCCAAAGGAGTGTGGACAGCAGGTCAAAAGAGGTGATTCTTCCCCTCTACTTTGCTCTCGTGAGACACCACCTGGAATACCGCATGCAGTTGTGGTGCCTTCAGTATAAGAAGGACATGGAACTATTGGAACAAGTCCAGAGGAGGCCACAAGTTGATAAGAGGACTGGAACATTTCCCCTATGAGGACAGGCTGAGAAGGTTGGGGCTGTTCAGCCTGGAGAAGACTACGTGGAGGACTATACCTCATACCAACTTTTCAGTATCTAAAGGGCCTACAAGGGAGCTGGACAGGGGCTTTTTATTAGGAGCTGCAATGATACGACAAGGGGTAATGGGTTCAAACTGAAGGAGGGAAAGTTTAGGTTAGATATTAGAAAAAAGCTTTCTTTCCTGTGAGGGTGGTGAGGCACTGGCACAGGTTGCACAGGGAGGTAGTGGATGCCCCAACCCTGGCAGTGTTCAAAGCCAGGTGAGCATCCTGGTCTAGTGGGAGGTGTCCCTGTCCATGGCAGGGGGGTGGGACTAGATGATCTGTAACGTCCTTTCCAACCCCTAAAGTTCTATGATTCTCAGATTCTATGATATAGTGTCATTATTACCTTAGTGAAGGCTCGGTAGCACAAACCACACAGTTCCACCAGGTAGGCCAGAGTGAAGACAGCATTCTGAATTACAAAACTTAGTAATTTTGAAAAAGGCTCCAGAAGACTCTGCAATGACACAATTTAAACAAATCAATAACTGGTTGCTCACCAAAGCAAAAAGCATTCCAACTCTGAAACGCCTGAATGGAACAGCATTATTTTTAGCTCAGGGGTTATCTGCCTGAGATGTACACTGTTCTGGTCAAACAGCTATTCTCTTTAGCTCTTGCCTTCATGCTTCTGTGAGAAATTAGAAGCAAAAAATTAGAAAATAGCTTCACCTCTGGCACAGTGTTTATGAGATACAAGAGATTCTGTTGTGTTTATGCAGGAAAATCTCACTGACCTCAGTGGAATTGTACTGAAGAACATCTAAGGAAGTTCATGACTTTTTTTTTTAAGGAAAAAAGGGAGGGTGGGTGGAAAAGAATATCAAACCTTTAAGAAGATATACATTCACACGCACACAAGAATGTAATCCTAGCCACACTTTACTGTAACCTAGATTCCAAAGCTCTTATCATTCTCCAAATAGTATTGGACTACACAATTTTATGCTTATATATAATACTTTCCTAGCTAGGGGATAAGAACACATTCATACAATAGCACAGGCTGGCTAAATCTGAGGCAACAGAATTTTGTCTTCTTGGAACTTACCCTGGTGGCACTAGTGGTAGGTATCTTCAACAAGCAAATCATGATTCTTAAACTGGAGTCTAAAGAACACTGAACATAGTTGAAGGCAGGAAAGAAAGAAGGAAAGAAAAAAAAGAAAAAGAAAAAACCCCAGAGTTAGTACCTTTCTGTGTACATCTTGCTTATAGAGGTAGCAGCTATGAATTAGTTATAGGTAAAGTCTGAAAAATTATCCCTGATGATTGATCTTTAATTACTTTGTCTAAACACAATCATACCCCTTCAGGAGTAACATACTGCAGCATAGGCTTTGAGATGAGATGATTCCACTAAAGGGCTAGTTTAGGAGAGCTAGCTTTACGCCTTGTATGACAAAAATCTCCTAGAAATATATTTCCACTGTAATAAAAATGGATTGTGAGGAAAAAAAGGAAAGAAGTAAAAAAAAAAAAAGGAGTAGGTTGGCAGGAGGTATGCACCATCTACCTTATTTTATATTTCTGTGCTTGTTCTGGGCTATGATATTTTCCTCCATACCCCAGGACAGGACTGCAACTCACAATGTGTAACATTGGAATATGCCCTGGCAGTAGCTTTTCCAGATGCCCCTCAAGTTGTTCCTTACGATGCAATTGATTTTTATTTCAATAAATCACAAAGGTTGCAGCAGTGAATGGACTTCTCAGGATCTCTCCATTGTCCTGCCCTGTCCCTGCTGCAAATGCCTAGAACAGCAAAGAGTCACCATGACCCTAAAGGACGGAACAGGAGATGGAAAGGGGCAGTTGCTTTACTTTTATCACTAATGATACTTCCAGTGAATAAAAGGGGAATCAGAGTAAACACTCCACCTAAACATTCTGTGAATGGCAGATGTGGGATTGGAACTACTAAGATCCAATTAATTTCTTTTTATTTATTTCAATTACATAGGATGCAACAGCTTGGGGTGACTAGTATGCAGAGAGAATGGTTATTGCTTGTTTGGCTTAGTTAGTGCTGCAGGATAATGCCTCAATTTACCAAAACCTAAAGAGGTTTCAACATCTGACTATTGCATAATAGTGCCAAGGAATTTAATATTATTCATGTAATTTGGTGGTGACACCCAGTTTAGAAGACAATGGTTATCAGTCACAAAGTTAGATTTTGGATCCCTCAGCTCATATTGAGCAACACTGCTTTGCACAGAAGAAATTACCACTGGAGTCATTCACACCACAGGAAATAAAGTCAGAGTAAGGGCATCAGAATTCCATGTTTACTGGAAAGACTCAGGCAAGTTTTTACTGCGTTTACTGAAAAGACATCTGGAAATATACACACTAGAAGGTAAGATCCCATTGCATGCCCTCTGAGCTCTCAGAAATCAGAGCCCAAAGCTTCTAGATTCAGTTTCTGTAGTTATATTCTGATTATAGCCAGAACTACAACCTGGTTGGCCAAACAGGCAAGGCCCAATTCCCAGTAGTCTCAGTTCCTTCTGACTGTCTGACTACTGTGTACTTTTAGCAAATTAATTATGTGGTGCTGCTCTTCTTGAGAGTTTTATCCAGTTTTAACAATTAAAACCAGATGGATTTTTATTGCCTAAATGCTGACTCTCAAATGTAGTGTTACAATCTGACAAAGACAGGGCACAGAAAATGTAGAGGAAAAAAGTCAAGAAAGAAGTGAAGAGTACTCAGGTCAGAGTTGCTATTGTTACCCATGGAAGACATAATTAAAGGAGTGGATCAGAAATAAAATAAATCCAGTTCTCTGGAAACATTAGTTGAATCATTAGAAAATATTCACAACAGCCCACTCTCACCCATAGTTTCCCCACTGTTTCAGTACATCCTGACCAATGGCAGTATAGCTTGTTTCAGGTGTCCATACATCATACCTTGAGTGGTAAAACACAAGGGAGTTTAGTAAGGAAGGTCTGAAACTGATTACTAATTGTGGTCCAGAGGTTGCTGGGTGAATCCATGGGCAAGGCTTCCATAAAGGTAGCAATGTTTTCCAAACAGCGGAGCATTGCACCCCCTGCCGGCAAATTCTTCTTGTTGTTTAAACCCTGGGAGACAAAACAAGAACTGTAAACAAACGTACGCACGCAGAAATGAGCCTTTACACAGGATTTGGAAGTGCTGAGGTTAATTCGTTCAGACCAAATAC